CGGACCACCTTGTTCAATTACCTCGTGGGATGATCTTCTCAACAAATTTATGACCCGCTATTTCCCGCCTCCGAAGACGGCCGAGTGGAGAAAGAAGATCACCCATTTCGAGCAAGATAAAGATGAAACCTTGAGGGATGCTTGGGAGAGATTCTCCGATTATTTTCTTCAATGCCCTCACCACGTGTTTGAAGAACAATTCCGAATTGAAACTTTCTATGGAGGGCTCATACATGAAGACAAGATCCTCATTGATTCTCTTTGTCAAGGGAGACTAATGAATATGACCCGCCACAAGTGGCCCAATTGTTAGAAGATATTGCCCTCAAAGGTTATGATTGGGGTTTGACGAGAAGAGGGAAGAGAAGGAATGAAAGAGGAGTAAGAAGTGTGGGAGCGAGTGCTCCACTCGAGGCAAAACTCGATAAGTAGATCAAGGTAATTCTCGAGGATAAGAAGCACGGGAAGAGAGCGATCGTGATGTCGTGCGATTGGTGTTCAAGCACGAGCAATGAGTTGGAGGATTGTCAAACAATGAAGGAAGCAAGCACTCCGGAGGAACAAGTCAATTTCGTTGCCAGTGCTAAGGGGAACAACCCGTATAGCAATACCTATAACCCCGGGTGGAGAAATCATCCTAACTTTGCTTGGTCATCCCCGACAAATCCGCGATCCCCCGCTTTCCAAGGCCCTACGGGAAATTACCAACCTCAGCCAATTTTCATTCAACAAAGGCCGCAATTTCAAGGTTCGAACTTCCAACAACCTTATCAAGTACAAGGTGGACAAGGGTTTCAACAACAACAACAACCCGACAAGCTATGCAAACTTGTAAACCTTGTGAATACCTTTGTGAGCACGAGTGCTCTGAAGTTCGAGAAGATCGAGCAATTTAAGGATCTGGCAACTACCAAGTTTACGTTGGTTGAGCGGGACTCCGAAACCATCAAGCAAGCCTTCAAAATTTGGAGGTGAGAATCGGCAATCTTGTCGGGATCCTTAATAATTGTCGAAAACATACTGATTTTGTGTGCTGAATGTGAATATTTCATGTATGTTTGAGACATAATAATGCTTATTTTAAGACAAATTAATCCGAGAATGGTTGACAAGCCATTACCATCCTGCGTTAGATGCGTTAGAGTTTTGGTGTGTTTCAGGACAAGGAAATAAGAAAATATGGATGCACAAGCAGGTGAAGAAGCTCATCAACAAACCGACTTGACATTTTTTTTAGCCCACGAGAAAGAGGAGCAGATGAACGTTTGTGAGATTGGGACTTGGATTCTACTGGAGGAAAGCTTAATTAATTGGGCTCAAGCCTAATCACTGGAAGAAGTTGGCTATAGGGGGAATTCTTGATGAATTAAAAGGACCGAGTCCTTTGTCCTCTAGCAAAAGGGTGACAAAAAGGAAATTGAAGTTGGACCGGCCAACGGGATTTTCTTTTGGGATAATTAATTGGACACGGGCGGAAGCAGCAGCGCAGGGAACTTCGAGAGGGAATAATTGGGGCTGCAGCTTGCGAGCTACTGCGGACCGGTGTTGGGATGAATAGCTTTAAAAAGTTATAAATTAAATTTCTAATTAATTATACAGTATTATCCCATAATACATAAATAAGATGGATAATTAATAAAAGAAATATTATGGAGATAATTAGGATTAATTATCTTAGTAGATTATATTTTAATTATGGGAGTAATTATCTCACTAATTAAAATGTGACTTATTCTCAAAGAAAGAGGGAATATTATGGGTTTCTGAGAGCAGAAACACACCTCAGAGAGCAGAAACACGAGAGAGTGAGATTCAGAGAGCTCTGGTTTTCGCACAAAACCGGCGAGCAAATTTAATGAGTGGCTGTTTTTATCCTAGTGGTGACCGGCTGATAGTCTATTGTGCGAATAACGAGGCAGTACCGCGAACGTCTTAAAGAGAGCGACCTAGTCCACGACTCAGCCAGATCGGTAACCTAATTTTTCCTCTTCGATTTATAACAATTTTAAGATGTTCGGTTGCTATCTATGTATACCGAACAGGATGCCGATACTGGCCAGATAAATTATTATCGTCGTTCGCCCAGAAAAAGCTAGCAGGGGGATTTCCGGCCGTCGCCATCTCTCGTACCCCGATCGTCGCCATAAAACCCTGCCGACCCTGTGACCGTTCCTTCCACGCTACTCTTCCTATCCAAGCAATTACTACACGTCAAAGCCCCACAAACCAAACTAACTCCACATTAAGCACATCTCGCCATCGATTCACCAATCCTCAACTTACCCAATTTCCCAAATGTAGTCCTACGACCGATTATACTCTTCCGAGTCCTATGCGCCGTCGGCACCTTCCCTGTTGAAATCCTACCGCCAGCAAGAAGACGATCGCGGCTCCTATGGAAGCTCTCGGCCGCAGCCTAGTGGATATGGAGTTCACCAGGATCACCAGCCGAAGCCTTATGGCCAGGGGCAGAGCACTTCTCCATCGGGGTACTCTGGTTTCCCTTCGAGGACCCATCCGGATGTGATTTGGAGCTTTGAGATGGTGAATGTTGATTCGGAGCACTACAACAGAAACAACCTTTTGTGACGAGTAAAAATGGTCGCTAAGTGTCAAAATTTGGTCGCAAATCCTATGTCGTGACCAAAAACTTTTGGTAGAAGCTTTGGTCATATTTGCCGCGTTAGGAAAACCATTTGGTGACCAATCTTTGGGTTTGGTCACAATACATCGTGTTTTTGTGACGAAAGACCCAATTGGTCACAATTGTTTTTTATTTGCAACCAAGGCAATTGGTAACAAAAAAACTATCAAAATAGTCATGAAAGAATACCTGATTGGTCACAAATAACATCAAAACCAACCAATTCATATATTATTTACCAACCAAATGATTAAGTCACAGAAGCCATTATTTAAAACCAAAAAATTTGGTTACAAAACTATTCTGCATAGGTAAAGTAATTATCATTAAGTAACCAAAATTTTTCGTTATGAAACTCTTATCCTTACCAATTTTTTTATGGTCGCTAATAATCCAAATATGAATAGTAATTTTGGTTGTAAAAAGTATATAAAGTAACCAATCTATTTGTTCAAAAATAATTATTTTCATTGGTAATAAATATTATTTCCAACCAATGTTTAATGGTAATCATACAATCTAAATGTAACCATTTTTTTTTGTTATAAATTGTTCTAAATATGACTGCTAATTTGGTTGTATATATATTAGTTGAGAAAAGCTACTAATTTGGTTATAATAGCATAACGTAATGCAAGCAATTTAGCCCATAATGGTCACATTACATTTCCAACCAAATTCCAACTTACATTAGTTCATAGCAGTTCTAATTCATTAAAGAAATACAAAAATACACAAAATGAGAAACTAAAATCTGCCAAAGAAATCACTTTGGCTTGAGAGATCACCCAGCTCCTTTAAATTTTTCTGCCCCTTGTTTGAAATACCTGCACCATATATAGTAAAAATTGAGTGAACAAAACAAGATCCTTGGTTCTCAATAACAAATCAAAACAGTATGCTGATCACGACAAAGTACCTTAATTATGAACAAGGAGAAGCCAAAGCAAGTATAACTTTACACTTTTACCAGCCTTTTTTCCAGCTTTAAACTTGTGAGTTCCCAAAGCAAGTATCATTACAACCCAACCATTGTATTGCATGCATACAGATCAGTCCATACACAGTATTAGCTAAGGCAGTGTTTGCATAGGATATGAATTTCAAAAAGGAAACTATACACTTGTACCAACCTCCTCCTCTCCTTGTAATCTTGTTCTCCTATTCCATAGCTCCCCTATGCAGGACCTTCAAAATTGCACCCCAGAAAAGTTACTACTATTCTTTGTCAACTCCATTTCTGAAGTTTATACGTTCAGTTACCTCAACCAGACTTGCCAAACATTTTTGCATCTTCCTCTGTATTAAACCTCTAGTGCACTGTTGAAAAGATGTCAGTAAAACTGTACATCATTGTTGGTTGGGTTGTGCCTCTTCTCATGTCAAACAGACGGGGAAAATATAGCATCTTGATTAGAATTCTTGTTACCTTATTGTGATTGTTGATGTAGGAATAGAATGCATCTTCCAGACTGTTTTCTCTAGCTTCTTGCCTCAACATGACGTGAACATATATCTCTGCCAATGTGTAAACATGAAATCCAACCGCATATAAATTCTCATCTCTCAGTTACCAAGCAAGAGAATTGCATATAAAACTAGCAACTATTCCGGGCTTCTGATACAAATGGCGATTTAGAGCAAGATGCCAAGGAAGCTTCGAGTTGAATTATTCTACTGGTTTGGAAAGGAAACAAAGAGGGTAAACATTTATTCTATTGCCTTTGCAATTTCAATTGCACTGACAACAGACCTGCATCGAAAGGGGACCAAATCACATACCCCACTCACTGAGAACAGTGACTAGTGAACAAAGGTGACAAATGACAGAAAACGTATTGGTTAACATCAGAAGACGGGTGCTACCCATTCTGCAGAATAGCCAAAACCTTAGAATGCTAAGGACCAAAAGACTCACTTAAGGGTTGTCAGACTTCTCAACCTCTGAAATTGGCCTTCACAGCCATGAAATTGACCAAAGTTGGTTCATAGGATCCTACCAACTGGAAATTGACCAAAGTTTCCAGATCGAGCTGCAAGAAGTACTAAAGAGGGTGAAAAAAACATCCTTCTCTGAATTACTCAATGCATCTTGATTCTAACAGTCTCTATAAACTGTAGCTGTAATAGATTGAAGTTTCCAGGGCAAGCGATTCTCATTAGCCAGATTATGAAGTTTCCAGACTATTCCTAAATAGTGCAACAAAAATCACTAATTGAGCAAGGTCAACGAAGTGGAACCAGAACATGCTTCTTCTTCTTCTTCTTCTACATTGTGAAATAGATTCAACAACTGAATTTGCAAAATCGATTCAATAATCTTGAAAATTGATATCCTGCTATATCAAACCTTACCTTAAGACATCCTTTGGGAAGCTTCCTTGGTCAAGAGTTTCTCCTTGGCTTGTGTACTGTTGTCGTTGTTAGTTGAATTGTGCCTCTTCTCATATCAAACAAAAGGGGGAAACATAGCATACTGATTAGGATTCATGTTACCTTATTGTGGTTTTTGACATAGGAATAGTTGTTCCCAAAAACCCAACAAACCATCATTTAAGACCAGAAGAAGAAACATAAGAAAGCATAAGTTAGAAATAGTAAAAGGAGAGAGAGAGAGGTACTTACTGGGTGTAGTAGTAACATCACTTTCTTGCTGGGGAGATGCAGTTGAGGCCAGGAGTTGATCTTCACCAGGAGTACAACAATACGAAATACTTCACTGGAGACAAACAAAGTACCAAGAGTAAGATATTACAACTTCAATGATTGAAACGCATCCACACCAAAATTTACATTCAAACAGTGAATATAGAGAGATTCAAGTAAACATGAGGCCCAACTTCTGTGTTAGTTAGTTGCTAAACAAGAACATATAGCTAATTATTCCAAAAATCAATTCACTGCATCAGCAGCTGAGATCGCCCAACATATTCTAGCAGTGTGGGCTATATAGCCAAGAACATTTAGAGTAACGACTGAGCCACTAAGAGACGAGAAACACACCTGCGTCTCTTGACGCGATCGTTTAGCTGTCTGGCGAGCATCTCATGGTGAGTGGAGACAGAATTGGAGATGACGCAACCTGTCTTATTTTGAACAAGAGGACCTTTTTTGCCATTTCCCATGAAACCCAGCAGTACAACAGCGAGAATAGCAGTGAATACACAGATAAGTTAATCAGAATAGTAAATTATTTTGACTCGACAGGTTGCACTGACACTCAAAAATCAACCATTTGACTAGAAATATTTGCTAAGTGACCCTGTTATTTCATGAAGGCACTAGCAGAGGCATCTTATGGCTTCATTACCTCCTTCCCTTCAGGATGTTCACATGCACAACATTGTGCCTGGTTCCTAATAGCCTTTGTCCTCGTAATATTTCTTCAAAAGAACAAACAAAATGATGCTCAAGCAACTCATTTCGGTATAAAGCAAATGGTCAAATAAGGTCAAGCCCAGCAAATCATTATATAATATAACAATGACATGAGGATATGATTATATTAAATATGAGAATGAAGCATAAAAAAAGTAAAAGTCAGGCATACTTCTATTGGACTTGCTTCCCCTGGTGCCTCTATCAGCAAATCTACTTCGACTATCTGCATTTTCGCCTACTGCACATACCAAAGTTCTCCTGTTTTACATAAGTAAGAAGTAAGAAGGAAGCCACAACCAAGAACATGTAAATTGCTGGACTCGCTTGAATTTAAGATTCCCGGTCTTTTATATATTCATGAAGCAAAAGTATCTTTATCATGTTTAACTGCTACTCAGTAATCATAGTCTAAGCATTCTTCACGAGAAAGAATTGTTATCCCCTAGCTTAGTTTCCTTAATCTTCTTTCCAGTAGAACTTCCATGACCCAGATTCCTACAAGTTGAACTATGACCTCGACTTGCAATTTCCTTATTCTTACTTTGAAACCATGATCAAACACAGAATTAGACTACAATCAGAATAGAATACTTACTCTTGGATTTTACTTACCAGGTTGGGGAGCCACCTTGATTCTCCATGTCTGAGACAGCTTCGTACAAGAGCTGCTAAATGCCTACAAGCAGACAACGAAATACTTCAGCTTCCTAGGGTTATAGAAAGGCCGAAACGGCAATCAAAGAAGAGTGGTTTACTGCAAAAATGGAACTCCCGTCAAATGCAATTAGGCAAAATAAAACCAAACTGAGGCATTTTGGAGGCCTCTGCTTTCATCTCTGGCTGTTAAAACAACCAAAACTCCATTAGAAGCCAACTGCTTGCAAATCTCGAACCCAATCCCCTTGTTTCCTCCCGTGACCACCAGGAAAATCACACCATGAGGGAGCAATAACCAGGAAAATGGAACAGTTCATTTTCAATGGAGTTAAAAAAAACAACGAAGCTGCTAAGATATAGACTTCACCTGCGATTCAGAACATTGTTGCATGTAGATGATGCGGCCATTCTTGATGCGGTCCTCGAATTTGCCTGGTGAGGAATGTGTGGCGAGTGGAGACTGAACCGGACTTGGAAGAGTTGGCGGTCATCTCGCGGTCAATGGAGTGAGTAGCGGTGGTGATCTCGCGGGAGACGGAGTTTGCATCGACTGCGATTTCACGAGCGAAGGAGTTTGAAAGATTGAGTTGCGACAGATAGGGATTTGGAACGGTCGGCGATGATCTCGCGGGCGAAGAAGTGAGCGGCGACGGTGAACTCGCGGGCGAAAGAGTGAGTGGCGAATGCCATTTCGCGGACGAAGGAGTTTGGGAGATTGAGCGGCGATGGCTAGGGATTTGGAAGAGCCGGCGGACCAGAATGATGGATATCGGAGCGACGAGTCTGTATTCCTTTCTTGAAAGAGTTGCTTCAATAATTTCGCTTTTATTGGCGGCCTAGACTTAAAAGAAATGTGGATTAGGAACAACACAGGTTGTTGCAGCAAAGGATGGAGGCAAACGCAACTCCTTTTTTTTCTATATAGAAAAGGGCAACTCCCATTCAACTGACAGACGACAAAGGCAAATCCTTTTATTACCAATATTTTTAGTCATATAGAGGTTAATTTTTGTTATAAATATTTTCCTTTAGTTGATGACTATTTTTGCATGTTAACGTGACCAAAAATATTAGTTACTTTAAAAAGTATGAAGATGATTAACAAATAGTTTTGGTTATGAAAAGAATTTCAACATTTCATTACCAAATTTTTTGGTTATATCAAATTTAATTTGGTTATAAAAAATCTTTTATTAATTAGTAACCAATTCATCAAACTTTTTTTTACCGAAAAATAATTGGTTATAAATAATAAGTTTTTGGCGACCAAAAAAAATTAGTTGCATAAAAAAGATCACAAAAAGACACATTTGTTGTAGTGGAAGTGGGTATATTGATGAGAAAGACCTGCAACGAGCTCTCTCTTCTGGGTATCAGAGGTTTAACCTCATGACTATTAGGTTGCTCATGCTTCTCTTCAAGAACCCCCACGATGCTCTTCGAATTGGGCCTAAAGAATTTGCAGCTCTCTGGATTTGTCTCGGCCAATGGCGGTGTTCGTTGAAGGAGAATTGTGGTATGATTAATTCATTTCTCATATCCACTAATTATTCCCAGAGCAAAGTGGGAGTAGATAAATTGATCTTGGCCATGAAATCAAGGGGGAAGTGTCGTAACCAATAAAGCTGGGAGAGGAGAAAAGTGGAGAGACCTAACTGATTTCATTGATGGATAGTGGAATTGGACCTCTACTTCAGAGATGAAAGAAGCTCAGGTGGACCTAGAAGGCAAGTGTTTGCTATCATGGAATTGGGGCCTCCCATATGCCCAAATTGACATCATTTGTTGGTTATTCGGTTGCAAAGTTAGAGGCAATTACTTTCGAAAAGAGGTAAGCACGGAAAACTCTTTTTCTAAGTCATCAATGATGATTAAATAGAATCTATGTAATATAGTCTTATGCATGAAATTGTTAAATCTTGTGAATACTAGAGAAATTAGAATTAATATATTGAAATTGAGATGTGATTTCCTCAATAATTAGAGTACAATTTTGTGTACATGAAGTATAGTAATTTTAACTATATAATTGCATACTCTGAAGCATAAATGTATGTATATTGTGTGGTAAATATACATATTGTGTGGTAAATATGCTAGTGAAATGGGTTGTATGCCCATATTTATTTAAGAAGAAGTACTGGTTGTCAGTACTATGAGAACCATTCGTATATCTTGAACCCTAATAAGGTTCAAGAATCATGATAGCAAACCGAATCAGATCCACACCAATTAGAATGGTACCATTCGTGGTAACCAAAGGATCTTCGGCCAATCCTCCAAGAATGACTTAGGTCATATGACACGAAAGTGTAGCAAATTTAACATTGTTTCTAGTGTTAGCTTGACTTAAGAGAAGGATTGATGGTTGTGATGATTGTGAAAAGAGCAGAGATTAACCTTGCTGGTAACTCTGAAGAATGGTGGCTAAATACTAGTACCTCGACGCATACTAAGGCATATGCTATTAAGAAAGTGTTTTGAGCACTGCTCACTCCACTATTAATGATGGTCATAAGAGTATGCATATGATGATATGTTTAACTTAAAAGTTAACCGTTGAATTCTTTTGTGTCTGGCATGCACTTGTTTAACGTATATCATGAAGAATTGAAAGATAGAGTCACATTCTCATAATTGTTTGTGATAAATATATGATTTCATAGACAAACTAAAAGATCCATAAGTATATGATTAGAGAATAAGAATACTTGTATCTGATTCATTTTGAAATGGGTGAATGTAATGAGATGACAATTTGCAATAATGTGAAATGTTTTCATCACATTATTATTGATTGCACTAATTAAAGATGTTATGCTTTTGACGTAAAGCGTTATTTATGAAATGTGTTTTCATATGGTATAGTTCGAGAATTAGTGCAATATAAGATGAGCATGAGAGTGTTTTATTGGTTGTGTTATCAAAAATAGAACACATAAGCTTATAAAATGAAATACTCATTGTTATGTGGAAATCCATTGATGTCATTCCATTTAAATCGTGAAATAGTGGGGGTGATATCTTGTCTGCTATTAGAAATAATGAATAACTAGTGGGGGTGATGAATCTGGGTATGAACTCAGAAGAGACAAACGAACCATAAATCGCGAAAAGATTTTGGTTATGAATTTGTTATTTGCACCCTAAGAAGAGATCCTACAAGTCGGCTAGAAGTTTGAACTTCCATACAGATGTAGATTTGTGGGAGAATCCACTATTAACGAAATGGAATTTGTGGAGTCTAGTAAGAATTAGAATCTTGTAGAGTTACCTCTTGGTTGTCAAGCCTTGGGTAATATATCGGTGGAACCAAACAAGATTTGGCATCTTTGAGAATTACCTCCTGGCAATGAAGCCAAGGTAATAAATGGATTCCTAAAAGAAAAACTAAAACCTGATGGTTTAGTTTTTGAGTATAATGATCGCCTAGTATCTAAGGCTTTAGGTGAAGAGGAAAGATTGTAGATTTCTTTGATATCTATTCATCAATATATAGAATAACAACCATCATATGGATGTTAAACTTTTTTTGTGAATGGTGACTTAGATAAATAAATCTACATGAACCAACCTAAGAGGTTGTTATTCTAGAACATGCTTCTGGAGTTTATGGTTAGACAAATCATTATATGATTTGAAATAGACTCGAATTAGTGTCATGAATAATCAGATTCTCTCTCATGGTTTTAAAAGTGAAAGTGACAAGTGCATTTAGTACAAATTTGAGAATAACACTTGCATTATGAATGACACATCGATCTTTGGTACAAAGACTCGTGATGTCAATATTGGAAAAAACCATGATGGTTGAGAATTTTGAATGTGTAGGATCTGAATGAAACAAATGTTATGCTTAGAGATCCTAATAACTAGGAAATTACAATATGTATACCTGCATACATGTTTGATGATGCTAGTATAAATATTTAAAGAACACCTAAGACGGTGTAAGAAAGTTAGAATTTACTAGCATTTACAGTCTGCGAGAAGCAGCTAATAAACATGAGACCCAATTTAGTGGGGGGGGGGGGTACTTGGCAGGCTTACTGTTTGTCCTGGTATGAAGCATTGAAATGCTATTGAAAGGGGTCATGAGACACCTTAAGAACAGTAGACCTTGATATAGATTATCAACGGTTTCTGGCTGTATTGGTAGGGTATATTGATGCGGACGAGAATACCCTATATAAGATTCCAAGGCATCTAGTGGACATGTTTTAAACATCACTGGAAGTGTTGTGTCTTGGAATTCTAAGAAGTAAACAATCCTGGCTCAATCAACTAAGAAATCAGAAATGATAGAGCTAGCAATGGCTAGTACAGAGAAAAGTTGATTGAGAGGGTCATTACTAGAGATTCCCTTATGGGAAAGACCGATCCCTCCGACGCTCATTGTGATAGCACCGCAACTATTACTGAAGAAGGGAACCGGTTCTAGAACGAAAAGAGACGACATATTCGTCGTAATCACAGTACTGTAAGATAACTCCTAACGATAGGAGCAATGAGGGTGAATCCTGTAAGGTCCTAACAGAATCTAGCTGATCCTTTGACGAAAGGATTATCTAGAGAGAAAGTCCAAAATACCGCCACGGGTATGGGACTTATGCCTACCGAACCACGGACTACAAGTAATGGTAACCCGACCCAATAGACTGGAGATCCCAAGAAATGGGTTCAATGGGTAATAACAAGTCATGAGTAGTATGCGAAAAGTTCATGAATAGTGAAGCACGAATCCCAAAGCAATTGAGGTTGAGTTAACAACTCTTAATGAGATCTATACCCTATGTGGGGTGGAGTACTTTACTTTGGGGGTACTCCTGATAGACTCACCTATGTGAATGTGGGAGTGGGGTCGCTTCCTATGGAACTTTGGAGGCACAAAGTTGCTAGAGCGTTCGCTAAACCAGGATAACGTACATGGCCATAAACGCACGGCCTGTGAGAGAATATCACTCAAAGAAAAGATCCGGTGCGCTACATTGTCTGAGATAGGGTTCAAGACTACAAGTCACCCTTATGAAATCGGAAGTGTAACCACTACGTTAAGGTTCAAATCTTCGCGATACCTTAGCTTATGCCCGATCTTATGGAACTGTTGATGCTCAAGATAGTTTCAAAACTATTCAAGTGGGGGATTGTTGGGATGAATAGCTTTGAAAAGCTATAAATGAAATTCCTAATTAATTATCCAGTATTATCCCATAATACATAAATAAGATGGATAATTAATAAAAGGAATATTATGGAGATAATTAGGATTAATTATCTTAATTGATTATATTTTAATTATGGAAGTAATTATCTCCCTAATTAAAATGTGACTTATTCCCAAAGAAAGAGAGAATATTCTGGGTTTTCTGCTCCTATAAATAGGAGACGCCCCAGACCCTCTAAACACACCTCAGAGAGCAGAAACACGAGAGAGAGTGAGATTCAGAGAGCTCCGGTTTTCGCACAAAACTGCCGAGCAAATTTAATGAGTGGCTGTTTTATCCTGGAGGCGATCGGCTGATAGTCTGCTATGCAAATAACGAGCCAGTGCCGCAAACGTCTTAAATAGAGCGACCTAGTCCGCGACTCAGCCAGATCGGAAACCTAATTTTTCATGTTCGATTTATAACAACTGGAGCGCAGCGAGCAGTAGCGCAGAGCAAGGCGGCGACTGGCGAGCAGAGGACGAG